CAGAGTTCGGACAAGGGGTGAGGGCCGCCCAACCTTGAAACCAAAGGTACCGGGAGATCTTTCTCGGCAGGCAAAATGACTAGGGCATGAAACTGACCATTTGTCCCTACCCAGTGCCGAGGTTAAGAATGTGTGGACCCATACTTCCGCCCCTCCCGCATGCGTCTTCATGGTATGGAGTTCTATTAAGGACAGGGTAAAAGTAAAATGAAGACGTATGTGGGAGTGGATGTACAGATCCACGTATTCTTAATCTCGGCACTAGTTGGGGTTGAGTGATGAGCTTCACGCCCCGACCGCTTTACCTCTGGGGAAAGAGCTCGCGGTACCCATTGAATAGGAGGCTGGGTGGCCGCAGAACCGGTCTGGTTTACGTGGAGAGGAGAAACAGCTTGTCCATACCTCGACTCGATCTCCGACCCCTCGACCTTCCAGCCGGTAGCCAGTCGCTATACCCACTACGCCATCCCAGGTCTGTAAGCACAGGTTTAATTATTTTCTTTTAGGGTTACATTTCTCATAAGGTCCGGAAGCGTCATAAGGCCAGATGGGAGAGTACGTGACGTAATCAGAATAATGAATTATATTTTCTCAATTGTGGACTGTGAGGAGCAGGGTGGGGGGAGTGTGTGTTTGAATTCAGAATCAAACAAACAAGAACGTTTCTTGAAGCACAAGCAAGAGATATGTTGATTTCTTGTACAAACATTGAAATGAAGCTTATCTCAGTTCCATCTCTTCATTGAGATGCAACATCCTTCCAGCTTGTATTTTGCAGATGTGTCTGTGTAACACCTTGCATACAGATTTGTCTCGCTAGCATAGGAAAATCCAGCGTACACGATAAATAGTTTAATGGAGTTGTCGGCTGCCGTAGGAACCTTGGACGCCAGTAAAACCATGCTCACTGGTAAAGATATTTCTCGATATTGAAGGAAATAGCATCTGATATTATGCATGCAAGCGAGCGAACCGTTGGATTTATTTTGATCAAATTTAGTATCTGAGGTCTCTACTCGTCAGCTCTGCGTGTTTTACGGTATTTGTGAGACAATATCAACGTTAGCATTACTGTACTTACTTAATCCGGTCCTAAATAAGGTATATAAATGTATATACTATAGTAACAGCATGAATTTTCACTTTTTTTTTTCGGCAACAAGTACGAAATAACAGGTTTTTGACTAGATAGGGCATGTTGATCGGGAAAATTACACTCAAAATATTATACCCCGTATTTCTTAAGTAAAACATAGAATGTATATACTAGAAGTATGCAGTCTACACAACAATATTATGTATTTAAAACAAAGTAGACACTACAGTATCAACATTTGTTTTTATTGACGCTACATGTTTCGACCCTCATACTGGGTCATCACAGGCGTACAGTGATACCAATTTCAGTTGATGAATTGCATCTATTTTTAATCTAATTCTTCAATAAGGATCCTTATTATGTTTATTTGCATCTAGTTTTTTTCAATAAGGATCCTTATTGTTCAATATTGTGTCAATTCCTGAGGGGTGAAGATGACCTCTTATCTCTGTTTCGATTCGAGTCCTGCAACACGCTCAACTGTACCACCACTCCCGTTTCTCCTTCCCGGCGTGGGAAACACAATTAAATAAAGTTACACTCTTTTAAGACTTTTTTTATTAAGAAGCTTTATTCTTGCTTTTACCGCGCAATGCAAGCTGGGTAGTAAGCCTCAGAAATCGAGCTGCATAAGAAAATGAATCATAACGTCACAGATTTTGTTTGGCTTCCATCAGAGCCTTTGTTTGTAGCGTCTTTGTATTTGTCTTGTGTTTGGACAGAAGGAAGGTTGTCTAGGTGGGGCACCACGTGACGTCACAGCACGCATGTTGCTGCCCAGGGTGGGGTACGCATATGACGAATAAAAAGAAGATGCGCTCCAAATATGGCCGAATCTGATCCATCTGTAGCTCAACTGGGAGAATGGTGATAGTGAAGCCCATAGCATCGCCTCAGCACGTGGGTGTCAAGAGCATTGACTCCAACAACCATGGTACAGTCAAGGTAGCTGATATTGGAGATCCTACTGTAATTTGATTGACTGGAACGAACAGACCGCACCTGTCTGCAAGGGATATAGCCCGTTTATATATGCATGGAACCGACCAGCCTCCTATTCGGGGGTAAGGCGGCTGGGGCGTGAAGCCGGCCATTCACCTCCATCTAGTTCTGGGGTTAAGAATAGTGGAACTATACTTCCAATCCCTAATACGTCTCCATTGCGCGGGTTTTAATTAATTAAGTACAGGGGCAACTTTACCATTTATATACAGAACATCCAAGGAGGAAAGATTGGTATTCTTGGAGGTCAAAGTATCAGCCATTCTAAACATAAAAGTGTATATGTACATGGGCCCTATTCCGAACGTCTTCTGAGATACAGCTATTTCACTGTACACTGTACAGACGAACAACACGCCATGTCCTCACACGAGCTGCAAAGTGCATTCACGTTGATGGTGGAATTTTCGAAAATGTTTATACTAGATAAACTGCACCAACTTTGTCACTTGTAACAATAAATACGGCCATTAGAAACAGTACGTAATATCTCTTTCTTATCAATAACTTTGAAACTGTACAGTGAAATAGCTGCATCTCGGAAACCTTTCGGAATAGGACACGTGTACATACATACATATGAGTATACACTTCTCTGTTCAAAATGACAAATACTATGACATACAAGAATATTGACCTTTCCACCTGGGACATTCTGTATACACGAGTATATGGAAATACTTATACTAAGACCATGTAAATAGACCCCATGAATAGTGGGGATGATTACCCTAAAGGTATCTTCCATTCTGCCTATGTTTGTATTCCCCTTCAGTCCTCTATGGCCACTGTCAAACGCAAAGCGCTTGTCCCAGGCAAAGGTTATCATGTGGTTATCACTGCCAACATTTCTGTGTCGATTGGTGGGGAATTTTGGGAAGCACGCTGGAGGGGGAGCGTAAGAGCTTGTTTCCGTGGATTCAACATAGGACCTTCATATTTTATGAATGCTGAAGGTGCTTTTAAGGATGTCGCATATTGCTGTGTAGTTATTTAAGGAAGGACAGAAAAACATGGGCACACACTCCCCTAATGGGAGTGTTTCTGAGAGCTGCTTAGTAGAAATTAGGAAACCAGCCATCCCCACCGAAAAGCGTACAGGCCTTCTGGGTAGTTCAGAAGGAGTTCGACGTTTCGAAGGAACATATCGCCGAGTGGACCTAACTGGACTCCACCCCCCAATATGCGAAAAGGCTAGACTTAGAACTAGGCTAAAGTTTAGTCATAGGCAATAAAATGATATAGGCAAGACGATAGTGTCGTCACTCAGTAGCACTAAGCTAAGGAAGATGGAGAGTTGCGTTTATTGTAACGCTCAGAGGTCTGCAGATGCTGTTTGTAGCCGTGACGCGCGCCTTGTTGAAGGGCTAAGTCTTGAGACATTACTGACGTTAAAGGTGGAAAAGTCCATAGTTTGCTTAATGGGTACACGGTGACCACCATAACCAAACAGCAGTCAACTTTGTCCTTCAAAGCGTTAATAGGAAATACAGCGTTTTAAAATGTAAATAATTCAACTTTGATTCGTAATTACAAAAGGAGTTGGGCTGAATAAATCGATTACAGCATAAATTTGCATAAATAATAATTATTTTGCACTACAAAAGTGGAAAATAAAAAGGAGTTCAGAATTAATTACGTCTCTACGAAGTGGCTATCTAGAAATAAGCAGTGAACTGTTTTACCGACTTTCCTTACCTTCTCATACTTCTGAATACAAACACTATACTGTGCTGGACAGCACGTAATATGCTGATGCCTCCAATGAAACAGGTACAGTCATTTTCGACCTCCCCCCCCCCCCCAGGTTTCAGGGCCCAAGATTTATATTGCGAGACAGTCTCTAGAATATTCTGAATAAGCATCACGGACAACTGGCAATGGGCGGTACTCCAGCTGGGGAGGGGGACTGGCGTGGGGCTAACATGTCACCGAAAAAAGAGAGGCTTGTTAAGAAACGTGGGGCAGGGACTCGAATTCTTTGGAACGGTATAACTCGTCTGGCTCCGGATAGGGACCAGTGGAGGGCTCTTGTGAACACGGTAATGAACTTTCGGGTTCCATAAAATGCTGGGAAATTGAGTAGCTGAGCGACTGGCGACTTCTCAAGGACTAGGGCTCCGTGGAGTTATGCAGCCATCTTCACATTCCTGGATACGTTCTCCTTGAACCATTCTTACTCAGTACTGAAGCCATGGAGTAGGTTGACATGGCGGTAACGTTCTAGCATTCAGGAGTGCATGTTTCGAATCTCGGCCGGGACACCTGTAATCGTCATTGAAATTTTCATAGTTTTCCTCAGACTCTATAGGCAAATTCTGAGATAGTACTTTTTCTTTTTTTAATTTGTTGGGGTGGGATGAGACTGAATCCACTTGGTGCGTCGGTCAGTAACTGGCCTATTGTATCAGCCCCTATTGACATGATGAGTGTGGAGCAGTCGGTGCAATATGAACTGGCAGGGAAACCAAGTAGTGTGAGAAAACCTGCCCCAGTGACATTTTGTCCATCACAAATCTCACGATCCGATCTGGGCTCGAACCCTATCCGCCGCGGTGGGAAGCCGGCGACTAACTGCCTGAGCTATGGCACGGCCTAATTAATACCTCTTTTCCTCATGACCACTTCTAAATCCTATATAATTTATGGTTTATAAACAATCCACCATTCGGCGCTGCAGTCGTGAAATAAAGTATAAAAGAAGGAACGAACCATGTAAAGACTTTGCTGTCCCAGATTCATCGTAGGGTGAGGAAAACCACGAAACACCACACTCATGGTAGCATGGCCGGGCACTGGGCCGAGGTTAGAACCCGGTTATCAATCTCAATGTATTGCCATGTGTCAAAGGGGGCCAGGAACTACAGGATGACTAAGAAATGAAGTACACAGTGAACAGTTTAGTTTAGCTCTGTATATTTTCTCTCTTTGCTTATAATTAATATAGACTCATCATATTATAATAATAGATTACAGCCATTTAATTTTATTTTGTTTTATAACATCAACTTGTACAGCTAATGTAACGAGAGAGAAATGTACAAATAAATATTTTTTGAGTTTATATATATATTTATAACAGTTACATCACCTTTCATACTTCGCCTGCAGATATCACATTTAGAGAAAGCCTCGTGAGATTTTAACAACTCTTCACATGTTTTATTTAAAATTGTTTCCTGATCTTTACAAAACGGGAAGTCAAGGGGAGGGGAGGGGGTTGCAGCTACATGTATGCAGGCTGTTCTAGAACTGCCCGCCAGTGTTTTTTTTTTTTGTTCACCACGACAATAGAATAGGGGGAAAAAAGGTTTGTGCAAATATATTACTGTAGTGAAAAAGGGAGGGTTTTGGTTCTCAGAAGGGTACAGAATGGTTGAATTATCTTATAATTCGCCATGGCAAACACTGTTTAGAAAATGCATTTCTCCCCCATTTATTTTAGGTAGATAACAGTACAGTAAAAAAAGGCGAGTACCAATAGTTTAAAACATTGCGTCATATTCCAGACAATGAGAAAAGTGGGTGTGTGGGTGAGTGAGTTGAAATATTTGACCGGTGGTATATGGTCAGCAAACAAGGACAGAACAGGGATGGTTAATTTTCTTCCATGCATTTAATAACAGCAGTCACGGGTAATTCAACAATATTATAATTTTAATAGTTCAATATATACTATATATACAATTTCTTTGTTTTTAGTCTATGTACATGTCCACATTATTTTTTCTAATCTTTTATTTGGCTATTGGGGCGTATTAGGCCTGAATTTGTACGCTTATTTTTCTTAAAGACAAGTTCCACCAATAACAACTGCAAAATACGAAAATGCGTCTTATTAACGAATAATATTTATCTTTTAAATGAAACAATATATATATATATCTCCGTTCAGAAACAACCAGAACGTCTAGCACCACAATAATTGAGAGCAGAGGAGTAAAATTGAACGAACAAGCCACCGATCTGTGATATGGGCGAATTGAGCTTGTAATTACGCGCATGCGTTGAATGTACTTCGACCAGCGATCGACTGCGCATGCGTAATAAAGATTACCATAGCAACAGCAGCGTTTTCTTACTGTTGCTATCGCGTTCATCATTCTCACTACTACTATTACCACAACACTGAATTCTGGAATTTCGGCAGTATGTATAAAATTCAAGCCGTAGCTAATTCTTCAAATTTATGCTGAAATATATGAATGTATTTTGGAATAAGAAAGTATGGTTTCTATGTAAAAAAATGCAAATTAGTCATTATGTAGACAGTATTTTCGACTGTTTATTCTGTAGCCAAGCAGCAGAAATGACTGAGATGGTTATAATGTCTGTCCACTCTACGAACTGGTAGTGGATGTCGTACCTTGTGCAGGCAACCTTACGGAAGAAAAATCCCGTGCAAATATGTCTGAATTTCCTACAGGCATATGCGTACCGGAATATGTTGGAAACATGATCTAGTATCTTCGTTCCCATAGTAGACGGAGTATATTAAAAGGATCTAGTGTATTTTATCAGTAACCAAGGTTCTAATGATACTGAGTATTTGAATACGGCATTTCCTTAAGGCAAATTCCCGGCATTTTCGGGGTTTCTCTTTTTTTGGGGGGGGGGATTCCGTCCCTTGTCTGATTTGAGATGCGGATGTCATAATGTGGTCTGTGATGTGCGTGTATGAACATTTTATTTAATACTTAATGTACTGGTACGGTGTGTAATTTTAAGAACGTTTTGTTTTCGGTTTTAATTTTTTTTATATTGTATTTCCGTCATAAAGTAAAACTGTGTTACCAGATTTGAACTCTGGGTAGCCAATACATTTTTATGTAGCTCCTATTATCATTAAAATCTAAGGAATGTTTCGTGCAGTTAAAACAAGTTGTTATTTGGCAACATTGCAAATATTTGTAGCGGCGGTGCCGTTGGGAGGCTGTCTTCGCAAAGGACGAACATTTAACATATACATACCCACATACATAACACTGAGACACCGGTCAAGATTCTTTAACATCAAACACCAAAACAGTTAACACTGGCAATTGAAACAGAACACCATTGAACTGGGAGGAATTGTTTAATAAATACACACATTACATGTATATATATATTTTTCAAGTTCTCATGTGAACTGATTTTTCACGCGGAAAAAAATACAATGTCCCATTTGAGAGTGAACAAAAAAATACTGATAAGTAATTTCTCATGTCAGAAAATTAGGGCTCTCTTGACCCTGGTCTGAAGACATCCTTCCAACATTTCTTAACGCAGTTCATCGCCCCTACAAAGTTTGGTATAGTTACAAAAAAAAATGTAAATTACATAGCATCTTACGATCTCATATCCATTAATTAAAGCCATTGGTTATTTTCTGGTTTCTTTCCACTACGTTAAAGCCTTCTTACCGGCCTGCAAATAAAATTAAAGCAACAAATATGTCACACAACACAGCATTTAGTCGAAAAAAAACATAGACCCAATTAATGAAATTAAAATTGTACAAAAATAGGATATTTCTGTTAGGGGACAGGAAAACATCACACGTCCGTCCCGCTTATGCACGGACCGACGGTCGTGAGTTCTTTCCATTTTATACAATTTTTTTTGGCAACGTGGGAAAAAAACAGAAACAGCACATTTTTAAAATGTACCTTTTTTCATATTAATTTTCATTAAAATGCAACTGCTCGAGTTGCATTATAACAAATAATCTGTCATGTTACATAACAAAAATTTATTACCGTGGAGTCCAATACTTCATATATCTCTCCCTCTTGTCCTCAAAAGCGCCAACAATGCACACACAACAATCAATAATTCATTTCGTCAAATGACAACAAAGAATTGAACAACGAACCAGTAGGAAACAAGAACGCCTTGAACTGTTTCTTTTCAGTGCGAAGTGAAATACGCATGGTTTTTCTGTGTTGACTACACAAACCCTACTACGGCGACGCGGCACATTCAAATGTATGCTCATGAAAATAATTTCCGTATTTAATATTAACATATCCCTCATGGTTGTCGAGAAAAATCACAGTTAACACAAGGAAGTAGAGAATACGGAACATTATAACATGCAAGCAGGAAAAAAAGAGAACACATTTCTTTGCACCATCGTTTGTTTCCTTCAAAGGTTTACGGTTTATAGTGCGGTCGTAACAGCTGGCATTGTAAGACTCTCGTCTGACTGCACCGTGTGTTGCTGTTGTTGGATTCCGCTGGTTGACGCGGCGGACTGGTGGTGATGATGGTGGTGGTGGTGGTGATGTGGGTGTATGTGGTGGGGATGCAGGTGGTGCTGTGTCTGTTGTTGCTGTTGACTGCCGCTGGTTGAAGCAGAGCCACCGGTACTTCCTGTAACCAGTTTACTCTCTTTCTTGAGTCTCTGTTTGAGGTGCACTTTAGCGTGACGCTTCTTCTCATCGCTTCTCGCGAACTTACGTCCACACGTATCGCACTGAAACGGTTTCTCTCCTGTGTGCGTTCTGATGTGTGTTGTAAGGTGATCAGATCTCGAGAAAGACCTCATGCAAATGCGGCATTGAAACGGTTTCTGTCCCGTGTGGATTCGGATGTGTCGCGTCAGCTCGTCCGATCTCGAGAATCGCCTATCGCAGTTCTCAACTGGGCACGCGTATGGTCTCTCGTGTACCGGCGTCTTACTCGGTCTGTTCGGATACTTTCTGGGTTTCACTGGTACCAACTTGAGCGGCATTGGCGACTGTTGGTACACCTGCGACAAGATCTCGTGACCTTTACTCGTCGAAGGGTTATATTCCGCCAGCTGCACCGCGTAATTGCCACCCTGCTGTTGCTGTTCTTGAGCCTGTTGTTGCTGTACTTCACCAGCACTTCCCCCTCCACCCCCTCCACTACCTGACGTCCCCCCAGCACTCCCCGCACAAGCACTGAAGGGTTCCTGCTTGGGAATGAGTCCAGAAGGTCCCGGTACGGACATCCCCGTGCCGTAACCAGCCACAACTTGGGTTGTGTCCAGCCACTGGTACTTCGCTGTAGAGGGCACGAGGGACTGCCCCACCCGGCTATACGCCAGCTCCTGCTGCTGTTGCTGAACATCCCCAATAGATGTCACTGGCCCTCCGCTACAGCTGGAGTAGGTTGGAGGCTGTTTGAGCGCCAGATTCCCACCAGGTCCGCAGTCAATGCTGAGTCCCATGAGGTCTTCCTGCTGCTGCTGTTGCTGAGATCCATCGTCGTAGTGCCCCCCAGCGGGACTGGGACTGGCAGAAGAGTACTGCTGCTGCTGCTGTTGAGGTGAGGCGGCTGTCTGAGGATGCTGAGGCTGCTGCTGTTGCTGCTGTCCAAGGAGACCAAACAGAGGAGGGAATATTGTTTTGTCTGGGCTAGGGAGTAGCCAGTGATTGATGCCTTGTGCTGTCGGTGAGGTAGCAGCAAGGCCTGTGCCGAGGCCAGAGAGACTTCCGCCCCCATTGGGGCCCATACTGGCGGCGACGGGGCTGCCACTGGAGGTAGTAGTGAAGATACCACGATAGCTGATTTTGCCTCCTCCGGTATTTCCGGCGGTGTGAGGCACGCCGCCTGAGGATGGGTACATGATGATGCTACTAGTGTTGCTGGAGTCCTCACACACGGTCGTACTGACTCCGGCGATATGAGTGCCGATTCCAGGACTAAGACTGGGTTCGTGTTTCGTGGGAAGGTCTGTTGTCCCTTCCGGTTCCGGTTGAGGGCTGCTAAGAGACTGGCAGGGGCTAGCAGTAGGGTCCAGGGACAGCTCCTCAGGGTCCAAGGAACCTGTAACAGCAACCAAATTCTTTACTAAACCAATGTTAAGGCAATTTATTCCCTCAGCCGATTAATTCTCTTTACCTTGTAACGTGGCATACATTTCTGAGGCAGATGTGTCATTTCTTCTCTCCGTGGCGTTAGTCCACAAGCGAACTATACCGACCGAGCGACAGCCGCTTGTCGGCGAAGTTAGTGCCAACTTTAGCGGATGTTGTGTGTAGCGTGGTCAGCGCAACTAATCCCCACGGCCGTTAATTTCGGTTTCCTAGACCGGAGCCACTA